ACACCCCCTGGTAACCTACCCTGCTTCCTCTCCTGCAACTTTATCAACCAATAAACTAACCCTTCAGTGTAAACTAATCTAGTGACCTACTTTTTTCCTGTACATTAAATAAATCTTCCCCTTAACTCTTGTGCCACCATACCCCATTCTTCTAGAATGTAAGCTTATTCGAGCAGGGCCCTCAACGCCCTCTGTTCTTGTGAGTCCTGTCTAGTAATGAGACCTGTCTAGTAATGAATACTTGTCTGTTAGCCCACCTATTGGATAGCACTATGGAATGTGTTGGTTCTTTATAAATAATAATTGTAAGAATATAGAGTTTAGAAACATCCTATGTTGCTGTGCTTATGTTAAAATAATGTTTTTGAAGTTGGTCATGAAGAGTAAATGTTTTAAAAATGTGTATGTAATTAGATTGTTTTTGCTTTGGTAACTATTTGTAGGTCATGTGACCGTTTTGCGTGGCTTTTTAAACCATAATTGGGATCAGAGATCACAAAGGTTGTGTGATTTTATTCCTTATTTGCTGCAGTGACATTTGCGTGAAGATAAGGTGGTGAGTCCTGCCATTAGTTGTTTTTTTTGCTACAAAATATCTTTCAAACTATGAATGTGTCTTTTATTCTAGTAACATTACTCATTTGTCTTTTGATTTTGTGAATGTAATAAATGGTAATATCATCAAGTAAAAAAGGAGCAAATAAAGTGGCAGTAAGATGTGTTATTTTGCCACGTTACAGAGAAGATGGAAAAAAGACCCAATGTATAAAAATGGAGTAACATTTTTATGCATAAGAAAATTGTGCATTGGCACAAAACTTGAGAAAATATTAAAGTGAATGAGACACATTTTATACAGAAACCTTTACGTGTTTAATATGTGAATGAAAAACTGTCACATGGCAATACTCAATTACTAACAGCTAGGCATCAGGAAAATGCGAGGACTGTTGGGAGGTATACAGTACAGATTATTCTCGTTAGCATTAATAGCTGTATATGTTATATTTAATCCCTTAGTGGCCTGACCGTTTTTCATTTTTCTTACCGTTAAGGACCAGGGTTGTGTTTACATATCTGCGGTGTTTGTGTTTAGCTGTAGTTTTCCTCTTACTCATTTACTGTACCCACACATATTATATACCATTTTTCTCGCCATTAAATGGTCTTTCTAAAGATACCATTATTTTCATCATATCATATAACTAAAATCTGTCACACATCTACAAACGCCAAGAAACACCCATGCTAAATAGTTTCTAAATTTTGACTTGAGTTTAAAAATACCCAATGTTAACATGTTCTTAGTTTTTTTTTTTTTGCAAGTTATAGGGCTGTAAGTACAAGTAGGACATTGCTGTTTCCAAATATATATTTTTAAAATGTATCAATAGTGACATTGTAACACTGTTATCTGTCATAAATCTCTGAATCACACGTCACATGTACATATTTTCTTTAAGTAGACAATCCAGGGTATTCAATATGGGGTATGTCCAGTCTTTTTTAGTAGCCACTAAAACACTGGCCAAAGTTATCATTTATATTTGTTTGTGTGTAAAAAATGCAAAAAACTATTATGAACGCTGACTTTGGCCAGTGTTTGTGACTAAGTGGCCACTAAAAAAGACTGAACATATCCCATTTGCAATACCTTGGGTTGTCTTCTTCTGCAAATGATATGCCATCATGGGGGTAATTCTCATTACTGGGCTACCATACGCCCTCAAAGGCAAAATAACCAATCTGGCAAATTTCAATGTGACAAAAAGTAAAATCAAGCCTTATATTTGACCTTGTAACTTCCAACAACACTATAAACCCTGTACATGGGGGGGGTACTTTTATACACAGGAGACTTCGCTGAACACAAATATTAATGTTTCAAAACAGTAAAATGTATCACAATAATGATATCATCAGTAAAAGTGCAGTTTGTGTGTAAAAAAAAACAAAAAAACTTTCACTGACAATATCATCACTTTGATATGTCTTACTGTTTTGAAACACTATCATTTGTATTCAGTGAAGTCTCTTGAGTAAAACCGTACCCGCCATGTACAGTTTTTAGGGTGTCATGGAAAGTTACAAGGTTAAGTACAGTGCAAGCAAATTAAATTCTCTGGACTTTCGGCCTGGATTGTCAGGCAGGTCCCTCAAATTGCAATCAATAAAATTACTTAATTATGTAAAAATATTACATAAACATGCACGTAGAATTTAAATATATATAAATATAGATATTTATATATTTGAAGTCTACGTGTATATTATGAAATTATTTATGTAATTATGTATATGGATATATATATATATATTTCATTTTTTTTATTTATATATATATATATATATATACACGTATATATATATAGAGTAGAGTATCTGGTAGAGTTGGAATATATCTGCTGAATAGCCAGTATACAAAAATGTCGACGTTTCAGTCACAATAGACTTTTCTAGAGAAAAAGTATATTGTGACTGAAACGTCGACATTTTTGTATTCTGCACAATAAAGCAGTATTTATTTTGATCTAAAACGAAGACTCCAGAGTGCTCTCTACTTGGATGCTATATATTGGTCAGAGATTACTTGCACCGGAGCATGGAAAAGACCGGGAACATTGAGTGCTGGGACCTGGGAAAATATATATATATATACTTTCATTCTAAGTGTATTTTGATATAAATATGTATATATTAATATCAAAATACAGTTAGATTAAAATTCCATATATATATATATATATATATGTATATATATATATATAATTTTTAAATCTTATTAGTTTTGAAAATTGTTATTTATTTATTTATTTATTTATATTTTATAATAATATATAATATATATATATATATATAGTTATTACACATATATATATATATACACATACACGTGTAATTTAATGTACATATGAATATAAAATTACACTTATTGTGACATTATATATATATATATATATATATATATATAATTTTTTATTTATTAGCATTTTTTTTTAATTTTGACAGAAGCAGGGAGACTGCCTATCAGTTTAGGCAGTCCCCCTGCAGGCAGCACTACGCTTGCCTATTGTGGCCATGAGCGATCACATGGCCCGCGGGGGCCTAATTTGCCGAGGGGGGAAGTCCCCCCAGACCAGGAGAAACACCAATCACCACGGTCCACAGTCCTTAAAGACCATTTTTTTGTCGGACGTACCTAGTACGTCCGTGATCCTTAAGGGGTTAAATGAGCAGGACATTCATTTAAAATTTGAAATATTGATAAAAAGAGTAGTTTATTATGAAAGAACTATTCTGTCATAAGGGCGCACTGACCACTCAGGCACATTGGTCATGGACAGAGGGCCTGAGGCAGACAGGGATCCATGTGAACAGCTGAGACATCTGAGACAGAGATCTCTCCAATTAAGAAAGCAACATTCCAAACACACATTCAAGCGATTGATTGTGGGGGTCCTGCAACCTATCGCATTGTAAGTATCCTCTAAACCACTTTCTGAGTGAGACCTGGCAGTGATCCTGCTCTTGCTGTGACAGGTCTCACCTGTGATCTCCTCTGTGGGGCTCTGAGTGAGAAGGAGAGGCAGGGTCTGGTGCTGGAAAGTGATATCACATCCTGCTCTCTGTAACAGGTCTCACCTGTGATCTCCTCTGTGGGGCTCTGAGTGAGAAGGAGAGGCAGGGTCTGGTGCTGGAAAATGATATCACATCCTGCTCTCTTCTCTCCTCTACAGCAGAGTGCAGAGCGCAGAATGCTCCTGGACTGGTAACATAAAGAGCAACGTGGTAGCAGAGATAGCAAACACCAGGTATGCTCCATTTTAGAAGCCTGCACATGTGGTGGGCACTGCTTGTGATGTCACCAGCAAACATAGAGGAAAGTGTGTTATTAAACTTGCTTTATTTTAATCAAGGGAATAGAGAGGGGGAGTTGATTGGATTAACCTCCTAAAAGGCAATCTGGCCCTGTTTGGGGGCCTGGAGGGTGGGAGAGTCATGCTTACTTAGGATTGGCAACTGCGTATAGGTCTGTTACATTAAATGATCAGTGTTTTACATTTTAATTTAGGATCTTGATAAAAAAAGGCTTGTTTACTGTGAAATAATTATTTGGCCATTGGTCCTTGGGGCTCACAACCAAAAAAAAAAAGCTCACCACAAAAGACACAAATGGCTTCTTTTTCTTCAAACATGTCTTCAATCTGTTGGCAGTTGTGATTTCGATCAGAGAGGTAATCGTGTGATCAAGCAAGGGTGACATTCAGGAAATATATTTAAGAAAACAACACATTCTCGGTGCAGGTCCTGGTTAAATTTCCTTCTAGCTTCCAACTGCCTTACACAGAAGATAAGGAAAAATAAGCCAAAAAAGTACAAAGTACTTAGTGCTGACACAATGCCAAAAATTCATGAATAGATTTGTCCTTGCAAAAAAATTGTAATCTACTGTGAATACTTTATACAGAAAATAATCTGACAGCAATTAGGAAGATATATCAAAACAAATGACTCAAATGGAAATATAAACAGAGTATATATATTAATTAGAGTTTCGCTTAAAGGCATGTTTTAAAAGAGACATTTAGTATATTCAGTCAAGTTTCATTAGGTAAATAATTCCAAAAAACCCCAATATAGATTTATAAAGTAAATGTCGTAATATAAAAACAACAAAAAAAAAACAAAAAAAACACAAGAATGGATTATCAAGATTTTTTTTTCTGATTCTGTTAAAGTTTGGCTCGTTTGGTGCACTTGTTACTACAACTTGTTCAATGTAAAAGGGAAACTTTAGGCACCAAAACAATATAATACATTTTTGTTCAAATTAATTAGCTGTATCAGTCTGCATACACTGGCGTACATACCGCGGGGGCCCAGCCGCTTTGCTACCCGGTATGTACCCTAACATTTTGACAGCCTCTTCTCCTGGGGGGCCCAGGAGCTAGCCACCTCAGGGCCCCCTGAGGCTTGCAGCTGCATAACTTTGAGGGTGGGCGCGCGAGGGAGCATTCTCCCCTGAGCACTCTCTGCCCAGCTCTCTCGCGCGAACCGCATTGATGCAGGAGCTGGAATATGATGTAATTCCGGCTCCGGCATCAGTAAGCGGTGTGCAAGGGAGCTGGGCAGAGAGCGTTCAGGGGAGAATGCTCCCTCACCGCCTGCAGGTCCGGCCGCCTAGCAGAACCACTGGACCCCAGGGAAAGCAGGAATCCCCACAGCACTCCCAAAGGTAGGGAGGCTGGGGGATTCAATAAAAAAAAAAAAAATGTGAGTGTGTATGTGTGTTAGTGTGTGTGTGTGTCTGTTAATGAGTGTGTCAGTAAGTGTGTTAGTGAGTGTTACTGTGTGTGTCACTGAGTGTATTAGTTTGTGTGTCTGTTATTGAGTGTGCGTCTGCTAGTGAGTGTCAGTGTGTGTGTTAGTTTGTTTGTCAGTGAGTGTGTGTTACTGTGTGTGTCTGTTACTGAGTGTGTTTGTGTGTGTCTGTTAGTGTGTGTCTGTTAGTGAGTTTGTGTTTGTCAGTGGGTGTGTTATTGTGTGTGTGTGTTCGTTTGTGTGTGTCTGTTAGTGTGTGTGTCAGTAAGTGTGTTAGTGAGTGTTACTGTGTGTGTCACTGAGTGTATTTGTTTGTGTGTCTGTTACTGAGTGTGTGTCTGCTAGTGAGTGTCAGTGTGTGTGTTAGTTTGTTTGTCAGTGAGTGTGTGTTACTGTGTGTGTCTGTTACTGAGTGTGTTTGTGTGTGTCTGTTAGTGTGTGTCTGTTAGTGAGTTTGTGTATGTTAGCTAGTGTGTATGCATCTGTTTATGAGAGTGTGTGTAGTTAAAACCCCTTCAGCACTTACTTTTCTCCAGCGCCGGGCTCCCTTGGCACTGGGGATTTCTCTGCCCCGACCCGCCTCTTAGCTCCGAATGCGCATGCGCAGCAAGAGCCGCGCTTGCATTCAAACCGCCCGTAGGAAAGCATTACTCACTGCTTTCCTATGGACGTCCAGCAGAATCGCAGAAGCGCCTCTAGCGGCTGTCAGTGAGACAGCTACTAGAGGCTGGATTAACACTCAGTGAAACTGCTATGTTTTCAGCTGCACGGTTAAAACTAGAAAAGCTGTCACCCAGACCACTTCATTGATCTGAGTGCATATAGTGGTCCTTTAAGTGCATGTGTATCTGCATGCACTGGCGTGCACACCGCGGTCACAGGGGTCGCAGCTCTGCCGGCCCCAGGCCCACGCAGAGTAAGCACCGGGGGGAGGGGAGAGGGGATCGAGGGGGGTTGCCCACAGATCAATTTTTGCACCAGGGCCCCATGGATCGTGTGTACGCCACTGTCTGCATACCTAGCTTTGTATAGTTTTTGCAAAAAAATAAATACATTTGTATCACTTTGCATTTGAACCTTGTCTAACCACCATCACTCTGCCCTGGAGACTGCCACTGATGACAATCAGTTTGGAAGAAATTGGAGCATGTGCGGCCATTGCTGTGAATCCTTTAATTCAATAAAGTGCAGAGATCACCCAGTAGAATACTTCTCGAAAGGAAGTATTAGACTAAGTGGAATTATTAATTAATAATTTTAAGTCTTATCTGATTGACTTGTTTGCCTATCTAAACTAGTAATCTACTCTACCATAGCATGATATGCATCATTTTATTGTGTTTAAAAATGCACATAGTGTATTAAATATTTAAAGGGAAATCGTGACTTTTCTCGAAATTACACCATTAAATAAAATACTGAAAATTACCTCAAACTTGTGTTGACCTTTTCCATATAATGCTCCATTTTCTTCTAAGAGTGTATTAAATAACTGTTCTTACAGTGGTTATGGTACCAGGAGTCTCCTCGTGCTACCCCAACAGCAATCTTTCATAGTGCTTACAAACGGTTTATACTTACCTGTTTCTGTCCGCTGCCCACAATCCTTCTGATCAGCGTCTTGATAAACCTACTGCTTGCTACATGTATGTAGATGTTAATACAGGAGATGGAAAGAGTAACAATTAAGTTGGGTTAGTTTATTCTAAAAGAGAAATACATTTATTATTCAAGCAGTAACTGTGACTTCCCTATGACTAATTTCACTGCTAGTGCTCAGAAAAGCTTGCAGCTGCCAATTTAAAGCCATGACGCGTCCGATAAGTCTTGTTCATTTTGCATTATGCTGAACAAGTAGTTTTGGTTAATAATGTGTTCTGTGATTAAACTAAAAGCATTCAACATTTTTTTTCTATATGTATCTCTGTTGAGGCGGCAGAATCAGAGCTTGTTTGCTGCGATTGATCTAATGGAAAAGATTGATTTGAAAGATCTTGACATATAACACTTTAATTGCCAGAGAACTGAGAATAGGAGTACACTTCGGCCCTTCTATGGAGATTTACATTATCGAAAATGTATGTGTGAAGAGTATTAATCTAGATCAGGTATCGAAAATTCTGTCCTCCCACTAGGGATTACTGAACTACAACTCCTATGATTCTCTGACCATAAAAAATTCTGTGTGTTGTAGGCTAGAGTTTTTAATCCGTGATCTAGAACATATTTGCATACCACCAACTATTCCACACCTAGTGTGGCGACCTTGATTTTTGTCTCCGGTCCTACCAAGGTTATTTTCAGGGGACACTGGATAACATTCTCTATAATGTGTGTGTACATTTATATCATAATATGCTTGAAGCTGTTTTAGGCTATTCCAGGCCATTACTGCTTTTATTATATTTCTCCCCCAGCATTATGCATATTGCCTTGCACTCCTCCTTTACGGGCGCAATTTGCAGTACTCCTCCTTCCTCGTCATTTTGCTTTTTATGGAATTGAACTATATTGACAGAGGAAAAAAAAGAGAAAGGAATCTTCACATTTTAAGCTTTCAAGGTTAAGCGGAGGAATTCAAGGTGACTTCCGAGATTTTAACATTTTAGGACAACATGAAACATAACTGACTTGGAGAATCATGCCCAGCTTTAGCTATTGTTTATCATTTTGAAAATTTGCATAAAATGTACCTTGAATTCCTAACAATTCACAATTTAGTTAATAACCTGGTGTAATTGCCAGAGAATTAGGCAAGGGCAAGGGAACACAATTTGATCATCCAGCAGGCTTTTGGTAAAGTCAATTTAATTGTTTTGTAAAGTAATACAATCTAAAATATATTTGACATTCTACAGCTAGGACTTTGTAACCTATTCAGGTTGCCTATTATGTCACCAAGCAAGGCCTTTTTTTCTCTCTGGCCGCATTTAATTTAAATCCCACGATCATGCTAAGCTTTGGCTGCAAGTCAGCTCATTTACTGGGCCATCCCAAGATTTTTTATTTTTTTTTACATTAGCCCTACTGCCCTTGTTCTAGAACTGATACAATGCTTTCATTAGAGATATGCATATGCATCGGTTTCTTTCGGAGAATGTTAGTATCTATGACAGGTAGAAATGATAATTAGATATATCTCTTACACAGGCTAAATTTAACTGACAGATGGGATTTAACATTTTGTGGATTGCAGAATGCAAATTCCCTTAACCCACTGAGTGGCAACATCTGAATGGTTTCAAACACCCCTTTATAAGGTGACTGCCTATACCTTATTAAACAAATTGCTTGTTTCCAAACTTGTCATTAACAATCAGCTGTTAAGCATCATTAAGTATCAGCTGTTAGGCCTAGTGTATAATGACAACAGAAGTATATTTAAAATACATGTATTCAATATTTTAGTACATTTAAAATAACATTTTAGAATTTCTTTGAATTTTTATAGTGGCCTGTTTTATAGCACCCAACATATGTTGGTGTTGCCATAAAAACTCTACAAGGACTTTGTAATGAGGCTCGATATATAGGAATCATCATCTTGGGTGTCCCCTGTTTTTTTATAATTAGGGAAAACAGTCTGTGGAACAAACACTTGGAGGCCCCCTAATTATTTGCCACATATTCATCCTCATGGAACAGTGAGTAGGAAGAAACATTGGAAGTATTTCTCACTGGAGGAGTCATGAGGGAAAGTCATATATTGAGACTGCCCGAGATAACGTATGACTCCTGGGACATACAGCACCATTTATAAAAATGCAACACGTTTACTTAAAGGAACACTATAGTGTCAGGAATACAAATGAGTCATTCTAAACTATAGTTTTAAAAACATCTGGCCCCCATTTCCTGCATTTAAAAAAGTGATTTTATCACCTTAATTCAGGCGTTGTGCCAGCTCAGCCAGTACAATGCTAGAGGCTCTTGCGCATGTGTGGCAAAATACTATGCCGCACCATTCAGCATCTCTTCACTGAATAAATGCATATCTATGAGCAACATTCAGCATCTCCATGCTGAGCACTGACATGCTGAACATCAGTGCTCAATATTGTGCAGCACTGACCCAGGAACACTTCTAGTGGCCGTCTGAGTGACAGTCACTAGAGGTGTTACTAGGCTGTAATATTCTATGAAAAGACATTACATTGAAAAGCCTGCAGGGACAGACTATAAACAACCAGAAGAACTACATTAAGCTGTAGTGGTTTTGGTAACTATAGTGTCCCCTAAACACCATTAATACCAAAAACAAGTATAGATTTTTTTTTTTGCAGTATAAATATCTAGTCCATAAAGCCTCACTCTCCCTCCTTTATACTATAGTTATGATTACCAGCCTGTAGAGCAGGGGTTCTCAAACTCCGGCCCCTCAGATGTTGCTAAACTACAACTCCCATGATTCTCTGGCTATCTATGTAATTCAAAGAATCATGGGGGTTGTAGTTCAGCAACATCTGGAGGGCCGCAGTTTGAGGACCCCTGCTGTAGAGGGACAGATTTCTCTGTCACAAGCTACTTGTCACTGATATAATAAATGTAAAGTTGTGAAAATGTCAATTCACCACCTGCTCCCAACCAGTATAGGAAGTTTCAATGGGTCATATTATTTTTATAGTAAGGGACGGAGAGGAGTGAATGGATCCTACCATTTCCCTGTCTGCATTACATTAGCAGTCCAGAAATTGATAAAGGTTGCTATAGCAGTTTTAAAAATACCTTTATGTTAGAGAAATATGATTAAACTGTAGTTACTGTATATGGACATTATGCTCAAATGCAGACATTCTTTTTAAGTTCTGTTGCGATTTTTAGTAAGATTCACTACAAGTAATGCC